TGATTCTCGTGCCTCAGCCTTCTGAGTAACTGGGACTACAGGCATGCGCCACCATGGTTGGCTATTTTTTTTTTTTTTTTTGTAAAGACAGAGTTTCACCATGTTGCACCATGTTGCCCAGGCTAGTCTCAAACTCCTGACCTCAGGCAATCCACCCGCCTCAGCCTCCCAAAGTGCTAGGATTACAACCATGAGCCACCACGCCTGGCCATGTCTTCACTTTTAATTCTACACTTCAAGAGAGATTTATTGGGTACCTACTGTGTTTGCCAGGCCCTATTCCAGAATGTGGGAAACAGTAGTGAAAGCATGCCAGACAAGTTCCTTGCTCTCATGGGGGTAGAACATCAATAAAACAAGCAAGATGGAGCCAGAGTGCCAAAATGTTGTAATGTTAACAAAAACAGAGTGGTGAAATCTGATTTAGGGTGGACATTTAGACTGGGTGGCCAGCAAAGTCCTCTCCAAACAGGGGAAGTTCAAATGCCATCTGGGTGACAAGGACCAGCCAGACAAAGATGAGTCAAGCATGCCAGCTGACCTGAGTAGTGGCAGGAGTGGTGAATGGAGAGGGAGGCCAGGGCTGGACAGGGGGGCATGCTCAGACTTGAACCCAAGGAATACTATGGGCTGGTTTGCACTGCAGGCAGCTTGTTCTGTTTGATCCCAGATGAACAGTCAAATGCATGTTCTTCCTATACCTTGCTACATAATAACAATTAATGACAACCAGGCTCTGTTTATCACTCAGCAGTCCCAAATCACTTTCCTAGGTATGATCTAGCTGAAACAGAGAGTCTCTGTCCAAAGGTGCTCCTAGAAAACAAAGTTGCTGGACATTCACTAATTTTTGTTCTGTTCCAAAGGCTGCATGTTCTCTCCACAAAATGCCCACATGCATGTCTGCCACATTGGGCCAGGTTCTGGCCAAAGTATACCCAAGTTTCAGGGGCTTATATGAGATGAAAGTCATATCTTTCTCACTTAAAGTCCAAGCTTGTGTAGAGAGTACCTCACGATGCCACCAGGGAACTCAGGTTAGCTCTACATTGCTACTTGCAACTGGTGGGCACAGTAGCTCTCCACCACAACCCAATTACACCCAGGTAGCTAGAAATCAGAAAGGGGGAGAGAGAAGGAATCCAGAACCCACTTCCGTCCTTCTGCTCACAGCTCACCAGACAACTTAGGCAGGTACATTCACGGGGTAATTTAATTCCACAGTCACCAAAAAAACAGCTTTCTGTTTATTATAGAAAAGAGACATTGGATATTGGGGAACAACTATCAGTCACTGGCATGGCTTTTATTTTTTATATTTTTTCCTAATTATGAAAGCAATACATACTGCCAGGAATCCAGAGATACAAAAAGACAATAAAGGTCAGAAGTAATTCCAGAGGTAACTATTGTTTAAAACATATAAACTTTTTGTAACCTTAGTTCTCACTTAACAGTATATCCTGATAATATTCCCATATCAATAAATATAGATCTACATTACCATCAGAGCTTTCCGTTTTAAAAATTTTTCTTCTTGAGAGGCGGTCTTGCTCCGTCGCCCAGGCTGAAGTGCCGTGGTGCGATCTCAGCTCACTGCAACTTCCGCCTCTCGGTTTTATTTGTCTGCATCTCTTGGTTCTCCTGCCTCAGTTTTATTTGTCTACATCTCTTGGATGCCTGTCAGGTGCTAGGCCCTGTGATGGTGGCTGGGTGCATAAGAGAGAGCAAGACAAAGATCCACCTCAATGAATTTTATTTCCCTTGTTGTTTACAAATGCTTTCATTTGACCTGTAGATATGTCAAGCATTAGTATCTTGGTTCTAATGAAGGAGTAAGAACATTTTAAGCTGAAATTCTTTTTTCTTTAACTGAGATGGAGTCTCACTCTGTTGCCCAGGGTGGCGTGCTGTGGCATGATCTTGGCTCACTGCAACCTCTGCCTCCCAGGTTCAAGTGATCCTCTCACCTCAGCCTCCCGAGTAGCTGGGATTCCAGGCACGCACCACCACGCCCGGCTAATTTTTGCATTTTTAGTAGAGATGGGATTTTACCATGTTGGCCAGTCTGGTCTTGAACTCCTGACCTCAGGTCATCACCTGCCTCAGCCTCCCAAAGTGCTAGGATTACAGGCGTGAGCCACTGCACCTGGCCACGATCATAGCTTTTTGTGGCATGTTTGGACCATAATTTATTTATGCAATCACCTATGCTGTACTGGTAGATGGTTGTGATTTGAGGCTACTATAAACAAGATGATGAACAGCCTATGGAGGATCTTTGTATGTTTGTCCTTTATTTTCTAGGCATAATTTCCTAGCAGTGGCTAAATGCTGGATTAAAGAACACTTTCAAGGATTCCGATTCTTGCTGCCAAATTGGCCCCTAGACTTGCAGAAATTTATACTAACGCCTCCAATGTTTCTTTGTTTTTAAAAACTTTGTCTTTATTTGATTACTAGTGAGGATGAGCATCTTTTCACATTTATTGACCTTTTTTTTTTGTTAACTGTCAGTTCACATCCTTTTAAACAGTCCATATTTTAATGGGAGTGTTCACTTTATCCTACTGATTTGAAAAAAAAATCCACTTTATTAAGGATAACATATTAGCAAACGCTTATGTAGTACTTATATATACCAAGCACTGTTCTTAGTTCTTAAGATGTTTTTATTAATCCTCTCAACAGCCTATAAGGTAAGTATTGCTATCTCTATCTTATAGATGAAGGAACTGAGGGACAGAAAAGATATACAATTTGCCCATTGTATAGTTGTACAGGTAAGAAGCAGCAGAACTGAGATTCACACTCAGCAGTCTGGTTCCAGATCCTTGCTTTTAACCACTGGACATTCAATTATAAATTAATCATAAAATGAATGTTTTATCTCTTAGAGAATTTATTTTAGACTTTTACAATGTTTCCAATTTTTGTCTTTTAACTTCAAAGTTTTTTAAAATTCAGTTTTCATTTACATTGTCAAATCTGGTAATATTTTCCATATGGATTCCACTTTAGGGTTTAGTTGGCCTTCAAGGGTAAAAATGAAGCATAGATAGGAAAAGGGTAATTAATGTATGTCATATGCACTTCTGCAAACTCACCAAGAAGTTTCCGATGAACATATGAAGAAAATGTCAGAAAGGCTCATCGTGCTATATGGTTTCTTGTTATAAATTTCTTCTAAAGGTTGGGCACAGTAGCTCACACCTATAATCCCAGCACTTTGGGATGCTGAGGAGGGCAGATCATGAGGTCAGGAGATTGAGACCATCTGGCTAACACAGTAAAACCCTGTCTCTACTAAAAAAATACAAAAAAAAAAAAAAAAATTAGCTGTGCATGGTGGCACTCGCCTGTAGTCCCAGCTACTTGGGAGGCTGAGGCAGGAGAATCAATTGAACCCGGGAGGTGCAGGTTGCAGTGAGTCAAGATTGTACCACTGCACTCCAGCCTGGGTGACAGAACGAGACTCTATCTCAAAAATAAAAAAATAAATAAATTTCTTCTAAAACACATTGGCCCACCAGCCTCTACTACCAAGCTCTAATTGACGCTCACAGCACCTCTTAACTCTGATATCCAACAATATCCTAAATCCTTTGCTAATACTTTTTTCCCCACCCTAGCCTACTTCATCATTATTAGATTTCATTTAATACCACCCTTCATTTAGGTACTTGTCATGGACAGGAACAATACAATTTCTGCCCTTGAAGAGTTCCACATCCCCTGAGGCATAACCCCACTCTTTCCCTGAACTATAGTCTATCTAGCTCTGGGGCATACTCTCTCCTTTCTCAATACATCTTACAACCTCAAGAAATCCTCCCTAAATCCTACCCATGGCTCAAGCTCAAGTTTTCCTTCTTCTAGTTTCTTGTTCCCTTTAGCTCACAAAATAAAGTCCCCATTAAAAAAAAAAAAAAAAAAAAAAAAAAAAAAAAAAACTCCTTGGGCACTTATTGCATGCCTTAATATGAGTGTTAAAAGTGGAGTTGATACCAGGGAGCACCACCTGAGATCATAAATGTAAGTGTACAGCATGCAAAGTACTATTTCCCAAAGTTCTATACAGATAAGGACCCATTTTTTTTTTTTAAGTGTTGCACACAAAGTTACAATGAATTAGTAAAAGCAGAGCTAGCGCCCAGGTCTTGGGGTTCCCAGCCATAAAATCTTAGAACTGGCAGAAATCTCGAAGGGCACCTGAAGTAGTGATTCACATCCTAGCATGTGAAAGTCGCAATGGGGATGGAGGGACTCTGCTTTGGATTGATTTTATAACAAGAAAATCAAGGACTGCTTTGAAAAACGTTAGAACGCAAAAATCTTCAAAACATGGGATGGAAATAGATAACAAAAGAAAACTCAAGGAGGTTGAGGTGGGAGGATCTCTAGATCCCGGGTGTTGAGGCTACCGTGAGCCGTGACCCGCGCCACTGCACTCCAGCCCTAGCTAAAGAGTGAGACTCTGTCTGGAAAAAAACCAAAACCGAACAAACAAATAAGACACACAAAAAAACCCAAACCACAAAACGTAAAGGAATAACATTAAGAGGCTGAGTGGACACATCTCCATTTGACAGATGAGCAATGTGAGGCAGAGAGAGTTGGCCTGGCTAAGGCCTCCTGGAGGGCTCAGGGTCAAGCGGACAGGTAAGAGCCGGAGGCTGCACCCTGGACAGAGTTCGGACCTTCCGGGTTGCGCACGTGTAAACTCCCCCAAACCGCCCGAGTGAGCAAAGCAACTGCCCCGCCCTGCGAGCAGCGCGCTCAGCGGCCACGTGACATAGCCAGCCCATCACGCGCAAAGGGCGGGACCTGGGGGACACCACCCCCGCCACTCACCCAGCCCTCCAATAGAAAGGAAGGAGATAATACCGGGGGGCGGTCCAGACCCGCCTCTCCCGCGGTGGCCGCCCGGCGCGAGGCGGGACCAGCCGCCGCCCTCCAGTGGGGGACTGACGAGCTCCGCTAGGCCGAGGCGAAAGAGCGACGCGCACTTCAATCAGACGGCCTCACCAATGGGCTTGCGCGCTGTCCGCGGTGCCCGCCCCTGTCTCGGCCTCCCGGCGCCCGCGCTGCTTTCCCTCAGGCCGCCGCGGCGGCGCCCGCCTGCGCCTCCATCCGGGTCCTGGTGCGCTGCTCTCCCGGCGGCGGCGGGCGCGAGGGCCGGGTCATTACTGCGGCGGTGACGGCCCTCTCCGCGAGGTCGAGGTGGGTACGGCGGACGGGACGACGAGCGCGGGCCGGGGCCCGTCGCCATTTTATCTCCCCGAGAACCACGGCGGCGGGTAGGCGGGAGGGGAGAGCCGTGGGCCGGCCCGCGCCCGTCCTGCTAGCGCGGGCTGGGATTCGTGGGGCGGCCTGCTCTCGCCAGCGGGCGGGTTGCCCCGGGGCGGCCGGTGGGCTGCGAGCGGAGGTAGTGGGCGTTCGGGCACGGGGGAAGGGTGCCGCGTGGCCGCCGCGGGGCTGGCCCCAACCCCCTCCGCTTCCCGCCTAGCTCCTCACCGACGGGGCGGGGGAGGGGGGGTCATTCTTCACATTCCTTACCCCGCCCTTCCCCCCGCTTCAATCAAACTTGGGGCGGGCGGAAGGCCCGCCCTCCGGCTGGCGCCAGTTGGTCGGCGCCGCCTCTTGGTGTGGCGTGACTGGTTGTAGGGGCTGCCAGGTGCTTCTGACATCACTTCCGCTATCATGTTTGTGGGCCGGGGAGACCTTGGCCTTGGGGGTTGGGATGAAGGAGGGAAGGTAGGAAGTGCTAGGGGCGGGGGACGGGGCGGGAAGGCGCGGGCGGGGTGGGCGGGAGAGTCGTGGCTGGCTCCTTGCCCCTGCTCCCCGCGGCCAAGTGCGGCCTCTATTCCTGAAGCAGCTGCTGCGGCTGGCGGTCCGCTGCGGCAGCCGTCCTTGGCGAGGGGGAGGGGAACGCGGGAGCGGGAGGAAATCGTATCCCGGGGAATGGGGCTTGAAGATTTGCGACTTGGTGTCACCGGAAGCTGCGCTGGCCTTTTGACTCGACACTGCAAACTCTCGGAACCGAGTGCCTCTCGGAAGGCTCGGTAATAAACTTCCCCGGCGGGCTCTAGTGTGAGTAATGTGGTAACCTGTATGTCCTTGGCTAGTAATGCCCTTCGGTTTTTAAACTTTTACGGTAGGTTCTGTGTCAGAGGTGATGGTATGTATTTTTCAACTTTTCAGTTTTTAAAAAACAGACTTAGCAGAAGGTGCGCAGGCAGGAAAAAGGCAGGGATGACAGTGAATGTTAAAATCTTAAGGTAAATCCGGAGACTTGGTTTTGCTGTTTGACTTCACTGATAAATACTGCTTTCTTGGCATCCAGTTCCTAAAGTTAAAACATCATGTGGCGTTCTTTTGCATTTATTTCTGTTGGCCTGAAGTATGAATGTCAAATTCCAAGTTTATATGTAGTTTAGAAAATAATTGTTTATATCCAGAATTCTTTTGGTGTTTGGCAGATTCTGGTTTTATTTACTGTGTATTCAGGAAGTATGTGTAGTTAGGGAAGTAAAAACTTGGAAGTTTCTTTGAGTTTTGTGAGAATGTTTGATTTATTATACATGTTTGTTAAAAGTATTATTTTGAAACTTCAACTTTCAGAGAATAGACAAATTTCTTGTCTTGTAAATTCAGTGATACTAAGTAATATTTTAAAATGTATCACTTAGGTACAATGACAGTGTGAGGGGGGAAAAGCTAACTTTTTTGCATAGTTACATTGCGGTGACAGCTAGAGAGTATTTTTATGTGTAGACAGGCTATGGGTTCCCCTCACTTTAACTGAAGCTCTGTTGAACTTGAGACACTAAAGAATCTTGCAAGTGTGAAAAGTGGAGGGAAACAAAACACCCATTTCTTAAAAAAAAAAAAAAAAAAGTGTAAATCACTGCGTTCAGTTTACAGAGTGACGAGATCAGTATTAAACAAGTTAGTGTCAAATGTTTATAACTTAAAGACATTTTATTCCAGTTATTATCTAGGCGTTCTTGGTTTAGAGAGCAGTACACTAGACATTGTGTACTTTTTATTTTAATAGCTGAGATAGTATAATAATTACTCCTCTGGGAATTACTGAGTGTTAAGAGCGCCAAACCAGTGTTTCAAACTGTAGGTCCTGAGTTATTGGGTCATAAAATCACTTTAGTGGGTGGTGATCCGAATTTTTTTAAAAAGTAGGAAATATGCAATTGAATACAAAATAGCATGTTGATTCAGCTCGACATTTGTGTATTCCTGCAAAATAATTGTTGAAGCTGAGTGTCAAAAGTGAAAAGCTTCCTCTGTAGGGTATCTTTCTCGTTTATAGTATTGTATAAAGTATTTAATACTTTTCTAAAGAGTATTAAATCAGCTGTTTATACTTGGTGGAGCGTGAGCCCCTCATTTTAGTTTTCACAAGTTAGGAAATAAATTTGCCGTCTATGACCAGTATGCGTTTTAATCATAATATTTTTAATAGCCTAAGTAGGTTTTCTTTAGACCATAAGAGATCTTTTCTGTCCCAGAATATTAATTGCCAGTGATTTTTCCATGTCTAGATGAGACTAGAAGAATCCGAATCCCCAGTAATGAGTTGTCAGCGTTGCCTAATGTGGCCTCAGGACTGATCATTATATGCTTTTTGCCTGAGTGGTGGTCTAAGCATTGTATAATCACTTAAGAATGGACTTCATTAAGTAAACAGAATATGAGAACTATTACTCTGTTTTTGGTGGCAAGTCTTTGAAATCCAGACTGTTTTACACTTAACGGCACATAACACTTGGGGGCTAGACACACTTCAGGTGCTCGGTAGTAACATGTGACTAACAGCTACCAAATGAACAGTGCAGTTCTAGTGAGTTGTCTAGCTGCTTTAAAAAAAATTTTTTTTCTCTAGTTGAATAGTTTTAGTTTCAGATAAACAGCCAAAAATATTATGTCTCTCCACAACATTCATC